TTTCTTGCAAACATTTCATTACCCGGCTAGGTAACATCTTCAGTGCTAACATTACCTAGCCAGGTAATGAAACATTTGCAAGAAAAGAACCAAGCTCAGAGAACCCCAAGGACTCCACTGTGATTTTAGTCACAGCCTAATTAAGTACATTTGATAGAAAATTAAGCTGCTTCTTAAAACATTGTATAAAAGTAAGCATCAGTATTACAATCTACTATTTCATCTCATTCACACTGTATTTCAGTGAATGGCTATAAACTGTATTTATAGTGTGTATGTATATACATCTATCCAATATTAAATTAACTTCTGAGATAAAAATATTTTTAAAGTTTTGCCTAGAAGTAAAATTTGAGTGCTTACAATTTTACTGGTGTGAAATGAAGATAATAAATATTTTCTAGTTGTGCCTAGAAGTAAATGTTAAGCCCTTATAATTTTACTGGTATGAAATTCTCCTTCAGTATTGCTCAGCTACCCTTTCCTGTCTCTACAATAAAACAGGAATAAAGCTACAGCTGTAATGTAATTGTATAAAGCACTGATATTCTTTAACAGCATTTAAGGACTAATTCGTTCCCTTCTCAATTCCTTATTCAGAACCAATAGATTCAGGAACTTTAGCTAGGATGAGAGGTTATGGTGAGATGTGTGTTGAGGAGAACAAAAAGATACATTCAGACAAGAAAAAAGGTTGGGGTTGAATAGTACTGGTTAGATCTGAAAATAGAACATTTGCATAACAACTAGGAAGTTGGACTATATAGAGTTATATTAAGCTGAGACAGTATCATGCTAGAGAGTCCACTGTAATTTGATGATCAAAAGATGGGGACAATATAACTTTCAAACAATGTACAGATTAGACACACTTTTTTTTAGCCCCCCCCCCCCTTTATTTTAGCAGCCAAACCAACAAAGAATCCTGTGGCACTTTAAAAATTATCAAATGTGTAACTGCCTGCCCCTTGTTGTTTTATTTTTATTGGAAGGCTGGCTGCTTGAACAGTTTTGTTCGCACCACCACACATACTGTTTAGCGGCCTTAAACTAATTTAGAATACAGAATTGTCCCTGGATCAGAATAAGGATTTTGTAGTCCTGCTTAGGAACCCAGTGGTGGGCTTGGGGAATCCCACAACCCTCCCTCATTGTTGCTTCCCAGCAGTGGTTATTCAGAAGCGTTGATGAGCTAAGAATTTTGCTTGCTTTTTTGTTAGGAATTTATCAGAATCTATGAATTGATAAATAAAATGGGCAGAATTTAAGATTAAAAAACTTAAAGAGTGGGAGAAACTGATAGCTTTATCTATTTAGGCTTTAAGAAATCCTTGTGTGTTCAACCGTGCTTGACATTAAATTACTGGTGTCCCAGCTCTTCTGTCTGACAGGTTCCTTATATCTATCCCCTACTTGGCAAGCAAGATAGCACAGGATGGTTCTTTCTGTGCTAACTGTGTTGAAACTGGCTGGTGCAGATGAATGAGAGTTCTGTTTAGCTTGCTCTTCTGGTAAGAACTTATATTTCAGACTTCTTTATAAATAGGCTGGAAGGCATATGATTTTTTTTTTTTTAAAGAAAGCAAGAGTTTGGTTCAACTTTAGAGGCCGGTTGCTTCTGATATTGGAAATAGGATTTAACTACAATCACAACTGCTCGATAACTTGACTAGATAACTTTTTTTTCCTTTAATCAAACAACCAAAACTCACCTTTTATCTCACAGTGGACCATATATAATAGCAATTGCCCTCTAAGTAGTCCCACCAGTTGAAGGGGACAAAGTGGAAACACTACATTGTAATTGCATGTGAACAGACACTAACTGTCCTTCCCAAATCAAAATAAGGATATTGTCGCAGTGGGTGGGATCAGCCCAAGACAACTAGATAAAGTTTGGAAACGGATGTCAAACATGCAGCTCCAGTGTCGGAGGGGCTCCAAAGTCGCAGCAAGAATGGCCGGAAGCGCTCTTACGGTGGGGCGCGGGGGGCAGCCAAGAACGCTTGACACTGCACGTGGGACTGGGGCTCCACTCGACCCTATGCTGCCGGGTGGGGCTTTGCTGCGTCTGTGGAAGGTGCCTGCCTGGGCGCTCCCAGCACCTGAGGCTCGACGACGCACCGCAAAGGGCACCAAGTTCTAGATCAGCTCTCGCCCGCGTTTCCCGCTAAAACGCCTCAGTTCCCCAGTGTCCCTCACCCCATTCCCGGGCCTCTTCCTTATCTTCCTGCCTGTTTCTCCAGGGAGCCCGCGCGGCTTCCCGAGCCAGACGCCAGACTAGAAGCAGAAGCCAGCAACAGGATCGGCGGTTTCCCAGCGGTCAGACCGAGGCTAATTGTAGTTGGGCTATTGAGGAAACGGAGTTGGTAATCGGTAGCAACGGCGCAGAACGGAGGCTTTCAGGGCACCCGGCGAAGAGCAGTAACGTAGCAGCACGGCCGCAAGGCGCACCGCACTGGTCGGCTGTAGCTGCCACCGCCGAGCGGTCCCCACGCCGTGTGTGTGTGTGTGTGTGTCTTTTGGCAGCCTATTGGCTGAAGGTAGCTTGACGTCACAACTGAGAGTTCCTATAAACTCCCTAAACATAACGGGCTTCAGAGAAGTTCCAGCCGGCAAGGGTTACTTCGAGGCGCGCGGGAGGTGATCAAAGAGAGGCGAGCCGAGGACAGGACTCGAGAAACGCCGTTCGGGCTGCTGGCTGCATGAGGCGCACAATCTCGTCAACCCCCCGGTTCGCTTGCCAAGCCTGGCTGTTCTCCTCCAGCTTGCCAGTAGCAATTGGGAGCAGAGTTCCCGCAAAGGTTAAGTGGACGGGGACTTTGGAGCTGTCACGCCGAAAGAAAGCTAAGAGCGGCAGCGCCTTTGCGAGGCGCCAGCGGATTTGCTCGTACACCGGATCGGCCGCAGCGGCGAAAAAGAGCGAGGCTGTTTCGGCGGTGCCCTAGCATAATGGTGACACTTAGCCCCGTCGGTTCGGTGCACCTCACGCTGAGCGCCAATAGCAGTAACAGGCAGAGCCCGGGCAATTCGACCGCGTCCGAAGAAGGCTGGGTGGTGGGCATGTCCATTCTCATGTCCTTGATCGTGCTGGCCATCGTCTTTGGCAACGTGTTGGTGATCACGGCCATCGCCAAGTTCCAGAGGCTGCAGACGGTCACTAATTATTTCATCACTTCTTTGGCATGTGCGGATCTCCTGATGGGCCTCGGGGTGGTCCCCTTTGGAGCCAGCCACATCATTCAGCGCACCTGGAAGTTTGGGAGTTTCTGGTGTGAGTTTTGGATCTCGATTGACATCCTCTGTGTGACAGCCAGCATTGAGACACTGTGTGTCATTGCTGTGGACAGGTACTTTGCCATCACTTCTCCTTTCAAGTATCAAAGCCTCTTGACCAAAAATAAAGCCAGGATGGTCATCCTCTTGGTTTGGGTCATTTCAATCCTGACTTCCTTCTTACCTATCCAGATGCAGTGGTACAGAGCCAAAGGGCTAGAAGCTGAGACTTGCTATTTGGATAAGAACTGTTGCGACTTCTTCATCAACCAGGAGTACGCCATTACTTCCTCTGTCATCTCCTTCTATTTACCTTTGGTGGTCATGGTTTTTGTCTATGCCAGAGTCTTCCAGGTTGCTCAGAAGCAGCTAAAAAAAATAGACAAATGCGAAGGGCGATTCCATCAGCAAAATTCCAATCAGGAGCGAAGTGCCGGAAAGGGAGGTCATAGGAGAACATCCAAGTTTTGCTTGAAAGAGCACAAAGCTCTCAAAACACTGGGCATTATCATGGGTACCTTCACTCTGTGTTGGCTCCCATTTTTCATTGTCCACATTGTGCGTGTTATTGAAGAGGCCTTGATTTCCAAAGATGTGTACATCTTTTTGAACTGGGTGGGATATGTCAATTCTGCCTTCAACCCCTTAATTTACTGCCGAAGCCCAGACTTCAGGTATGCTTTCCAGGAGATCCTCTGTTTCCGGAGGTCTGCCCTGAAAATGTATGTCAACGGACATTCCCATAGCAATGGGAAGAGTGACTGCAATGGGGATCACAATGGCTATAATGCAGGCGAGCACAAGACTAGCCAATGGCTGTGTGAAGAAGGACGTCCCCCTACTGGGGAAGAGTTTGTGCATTGTAAAGGTACTGTGTTGCATGATAGCATTAAGTCCCACCAGACTGAGCATAGCAGATAATGACTACCTGTTATCATGACTGTTGTGGTTGCCATAGGGCCCGAGCAAGGACTAGGATGTAGTGACTCTATCAACGGCTCTTGGTGAACAAACTTTTACCCCAAGTGTGGAAAGAGTCTTGTACTGTTTTATTAGTGGGCTACAGAAAATACTTAAGGTAGGGCATATTTGGATTTGAATATACCATATGAGAGCCACCAAAGCTTTAAACACTACATGAACTACCCCCAAAGGAGTTTTATTTTTATTTTTATTATGTAGTACAATACTCATCTACCTCATAGCATAGCAATAACATTGAACTGAACAGCTGCTCCTTAAAGGGAAATCCCTGAAGTCAAGCAGGAATTTGGTGCTACTGACAGCTTACTCTTTCTCATCCACAGATGAGGCAAGAAGTTGGATGGGTTATACAGTTTTTAGGAACCATGCAAAGTCAAATGTTTACTTTTTCATATCGTCCATATTAGTGATTGGGTTGTGCTTTGCTGCAATTGATATTCCAAGTTCGTTATGCATAGAAAGTCTACTGTTTAGGACCAGTTCCAGTATCATCTCTACTAATCTTTACTAATATTACCAGATCTTTGTTCATATTTGGATAATCTTCATATCTTTTAATGTCTTCATTTTAGAGTTCTTGCTAATGTTGCTTCATTCTTCATTGTCTAGTGACAGTTTTCAAATCTTAGATGCTTATCACATTACACAGAGGCTATCCCTAACATTGCTTGGCAAAATTAATCCATCTTCACTATCCATTCATTACATTTTCCTCATGATTGTAGCTTGTGGATATCCTGTACTTGTTCTCACTGATCATATTTTAGAATCTTGTCTGCTTAAAATCTGATTATGGAAAGTCATTAATCAGAACTTTTTTTTTTTTTTTTACTGTTGTTGACATAATCCAGATCATGACAGCAAGAGACCTGGGTGGAGTGACCTGTTCAGCCTAATTCGTATTATAATATAAAACAACTTTTCATTTCAAGTGGTAGAGGAATTAAATCACTGACTGTGCTGATGGTTTCATTTGTCCTTCTCTGACTTCTAGTCCAGTAATGTCAGGAAGGTAAAGGCATTTATTGCTCTGCTGGTTTTAGATCACCAAGTAGCTTGCAAGTAGTTCCCATTTAAGATTCTCTTTGCAAACTACTTATGGTTATGGAGTGATTTTAAAGGCATTTCTCTATTTAAAGTCACCAAGACAATCAATGTTCTTTCTCTTTCCATTTTGCTAAAATACAGCCCACAAGAATCTGCATGAAATGAGTTCCAGAATAAAACTGGGATTGATCAGGCTCCTTATATTATTTTTGGTGGATAAATTTGTACTTGGTGTGCTTGATTACTACTTTGTCCCTTCCTGGAGATGTTGATCATTAGCATTTTAGGTTCATTGACCTGTTTAGCTGTTTCCCCTTATTCTGTCAAGTTTTGTTCTCTTTCTGTCTATAAAGACAGCTTTTACCTTGTACGGCTCTTTCAGGGAGCTGGCTACATAAATCATTCCATCATGCATTGTATATAATTGTGCAAAAATAAAACAGTGTTGTTGCCTTTTCAGCCAATTTGCTCTATTACTGAAGCCCATAAAAAGATAGTTGCCACTCTCTATGACAATTAAACTACAGTAATCCTCATCCATCTGATCGAAAGTGTTTATGTTCTTCTTTTAAGAAGATCCTGCCCCCAAATCTCAAATAGAATATTGCCAAATGAATCTGAAAACATTATTCTAAACTTCTTTTGCCTTCCTATTTGAAACTGAGGCTTCCTGTGTAGGCTTAGACATGGCTTGGGTGTGCAATTCAGATTATATGGTATGTATGAGGGAGATGTGTATATGTCATATGTGCACATGTGCATTAACTGAACCGCCAGATATTTTCCTGCCTGCCACATGAATGTCTGTATACTGAGCCCCACCCCACCCCACCCCACCTCCCATTGCAGAATGCGATGCAGCTACCTGTTGTGGAGGAGCCTATGTTGGCAATAACAAAGTTTGTTTGCAGCGTCTTTGGCACAGAGCTCCCTCATCTGGTAATCAGACTATTTAAAGACTAGTTATCATTATTTTATTTAAATATGTGGGGGAAGGGGAAACAGTGTACAGTAAAGGCATGTTTTCTTGAATTAAAAAGGCTCCTTGCAACTAAGTTGATGATTCATTACGTTTGTATTTCAAAGGAATCAGCATTTCTAGACAGGCTTCAGAAACAGTCTAGAAATGCTCTTCAACAGTGTGCAGTTCTGTGTATTTTGAGTACCTGGTTAGGAAGACTTTTCTCCAGAGGAAGGAAGAGAGGAAGGGTGGTCTAGTGGACAAGGTGCTGGATTAAGACTAGGAAGATCCAGGTTCAAGTCTTCCCCCTGTCCCCACCAACATGGATGTTCACTGGGTGACTTCGGGCTAGTTATTCTCTCTCAGTCCCAACTACTTCACAAAGTTGTGTGTGGGGGTGGGGGGTGGGGAGGGGAGATTGGAGGATGGGCTGAGTTCCTGGAGGAAAGGTGAGATACAAATCTAATTAAAAAAAAATAAGAGGAGGGGCAGTGACAAAATGCAACTGAATTTTGGAAAAGTGCCTAGAGAAATGCTTCTGTCCAGCCACCATGTGAGTGGTTCCTCCAACTTTCAAATACAATTTGCTTATTACTTTTCATGTAGCAATCCCTGTCATGTAGCTGACCAAACTGAAATCAGGATTATGTTTTGCCTCTTCCCTAATTAAACAGTCTGCTCACTAGATTTTTCCAGCAAGTCTCTTTCCTTTTCTTCTGGATTTGCTTCAGGTTCAGTTGCCAGTTCTCGGGGGCTGTCACATGGAAAGTTGATATTCAGACATGAGTCAACAGGTGCAGGAAGAGGAAAATAGGGGGGTGTGAGATGAGTGGAAGGCATGGGCTAGTTCCTGTGGATGGCTGCAGAGAGAAAAACTACGCAGTAATAATCTTTGGCTCTAATTCAAAACAAAAATGATTTTTAGATATCTTTATTGAAGTTTGAGGTATGGGCCATGCCCCCATATTTTCATTTTTTTTGAGAGCTTGATTGAAACAGATATATGGCAGTATTGAACACAAGCTCAATGGAAATTACAGCATAACCTGCATCCTTTGCAAAATTTTGTACATTTCCATTCTTATTTGATGACCTATATGATTATTCTTAGTAGTGGCAGTATTAATATTACTATGAGCCTTTGCATAAGGCTATGAATTACTATGTTATTCCTTTGCATAATCTGGACTGCTGAGCTGAAGATCTTTGTAATTTTTTTTGGAGCTGAGAGCTATTTTAAACTCCCCAGAGCATTTCAACTTTTTTCCCACTCTTGTGAGCATAAGGAAAATTTAAAAGAGCATAATGGTTGTTCTCATTTTTGTACATAATGAAAACCTCCAAGTTCTGCAGTAATAATTTGTCCAACCACATGTTTTAACAAAGTTAGTTAAGAGTCAACTCTCAAGGTTTACTACATCCATTCTCTGCACTCTTCTGACATGGCTGTGAGAAAGCAATTGGAAGACTTCTGTTTTGATTAACTGTGGACTAGTACTACATCTAGACACTAAACCAGGGTGAATCTTGAATTTTGTTTTGCTGAAACAAGCAGTTGAACTATCCATTTTTTGAAGTTAACTTGTTTCAATTAGTTGTAGTTAAGGTTAAAGGCAGAAGGAGTGGTTAATCAAGAGTACAAGTTGCCATCTCCTTGTCACTGCATGGGAAGAGCAGAGTTGGGAACAGTTCATACCTAAAGCTAACTGCTGCTTTTTGGAGTCATGAAAAGCCATTGATACTGTGACATATGGGTCAACTCAATGGATCCTATGAAAGTGGAGGTTAATAACATTTAGCTGAAAGTGAAAAGAGACAGGAAGAATCAAATGCAGGAGGAGGGGGTTGTCCACAATGTCTAGATGAGGCAGAGCAGAGTAGCAGTGCTTTAGAAATTATGGATATTACAGAATTGTTGTTTCTGTATGACATGGGTAATAATAAACCTGCTTAGTATCAGAATTTGGCCATAACCCCAACCTTGATCATCTAAGAGGCAAGGACTACTTTTTTTTTAGGTTTTAAATCATGCCATGTGAGCTTTGAAGGGACGTTTCTCCATTAGCTCAATGATTCTTTAAATGGTATGGGAACTTTTTATGTGCATCTCTCCCCCTTAAGGTGAAATATATTTAGTTTGGCTACTTTGTTATCAGAGATACAGTATCCTGTTGGGGCAGAACTGTTGTTTTGGTTATGCTATCTGGAAAAAAAATGGTCTAGATTTCTTTGCTTGAAATAGCTACTGATCAGTAACGGTGCATGTCATGTTCCAGGCAGCTGGATTAGAAGATTCAGATTAGTCCTCAAGGATTTTAATAAGAAATTTCCTAGAATAGTATGTTGATGAGAAAAACATTAGAGAAGAAAAAAAGAAAATTACTTAGAAGCTCTTAAACAAAGATAGCTACACTGATCCATGAGAAAAACATCCAACATCCACAGCTGAGTGATAATTTTTGGTTGGCCCTACTGAGAATGTCATTCAGCTGAAGATTTTGGGCTGATAAAATTCTAATCTATCCTAGCATCCATAAAAGGTAGAGAAAGTACAAATGCTTTTATAGGTAGAGCATCTTATTATCTGAAGGATTGTTATCTCAAACAAGAGTCTGTTAAAGACTTTTTAAAGCATTTTTAATTAAATAACAAAAGGTAGATCAAGTGGTCAGTTTGCATTTAGTATGAAATTGGTATTTGATACCTTTTATTTGTTTGTGATGTTGTTTACAAGCAATCTGCTTCTCAATGAAAGGAAACAAGTAAAAAAAAAAAACCTGTGCTAGTTTCCAACAGAGCTATTCAAGATGATAGAGGACTGTTAAAGTGATGGCAATTGTATGCATTATGATAGCTGAAATGATCCTCTGTTCAAG